CAGTAGTAATGTCGTATTTAGTGTGTTTGGTCAGGCAAAGTTAGTCAGTCTACTGGTCCACCATCTATGCTTGTACAGATTAAGTCCAGCGTCATGTGAACAGTGGTTCTTTGACTTGATAAATTTGTCATCCTAATGACAAATGTATTTTTACAGTATCTGTACTGGTGTACTGCTAGGAATAACTGAGCTGAGAAGCTATTTAAAATATTGCCTTCCTTTTCTGTACAACAGGTTTTTGAAACTGAAAAATGACTTTCAGTTACAGCTGTAGTAGCACCATCTCAAGGAAGAGATAGATTTTTTTTTTTTTAGTAATGTTAATTATTTCTAGTGAGTGTTTGTAGCTCTTAGAGCAAAACAACAATCCTTGCTCTCTGCTTCACACCATATAAAAAGAAAAGATAACTGAAGTATTGGGCAATATAATAATAGGAAAAAACTATCATGTGCATAATAGGTGTTCTTTAGCACTATTCTTTAGTGTTCAACATTCTGTGTTCTGTGAAAGTACATGAAATGAAGTTATATTGATTATTTTAATTTTTTTTGGTGTGGATTTGCAGAATGGTGGTTTTAAAGCATGCAATATAATATTCTTTTTCTGGTAATTTTTGTTAAAATTTGCCACAGACTAATTTAGGCAGTAATCATGACCAGAAATCAAAATAGCAGCCCTTGGTTTTGTTCCAGGTTCATGATTGTAAGTTATATTTGGGTATTTTGGGATTATCTTTATAAAAATATTATTAAAATGTAATGTTTGAATTTAATTTATTGGTCAACTACAATTATTTACTGTAGCAGTTTCAATTGATCTAGTAATTTTATGTATCTTGTTCCCTGGCTCACTTGATAATTTCTTAAAAAACAAATACTAAAATATCAGGTTACAGTGCCTGATATTTCTAAGGACAGAAGAATTTCTGTAGTCCTCCCCACAAAAAAAATCAAGCACCATGATGTCGAAGTATTTCTCCTGACGCTATCCATGAAGCAAGGTGGCTTTGTTTTCTGGAGAGTGATGAGAAAAGAAAGTTTGCAGATTTGCACTGCACATCCTGCGGTTTGTGGCAAGTCTCTTATTTCTGCTGGCCTTACTTTCCATAAACTAGGCACATCAATCCTTTTTATTGCTTGGAGATCATCATACAAAAAGAAATCTGCTCCAGATCTACTATTCTAGCAGTGAATATTTTAATGGTAGTAATTTCTGAGTATCCTTTTAAGAAAACCTTAGTGATTTATTCGGGTGGTAAATTGAAGATGATCGTTGAAAATCCCACCAAAGGACATGCTCCTACTTGTTGGGCATAGCCGTCGGGGCACCTCATGTGCTTGACTTTGAGGAAGCTCCTGGTAGGAATGGTTCAGCTGGCTGAGGGAGCTAGTTTCTCCTGGTTTTGTAAGGGGAGTTGTAGGGGCAGTTGTAGTAATCAGTTCCAAAGATAAAGATAGTTAACAAGTAAGAGTTATTCTGATTAAAAAGAAAAAACAATAGTGAACAGTTTTAGCGGGGATACCCTCATGTGTAGGGGTGCATTCAGAGTTAGTGTTAGTATGAAAATGTTTTATTTAGAAGGATTTGCAGGGGATCAGCTGAAGCAAGGATCTGCCACTTTGGTGTGTGGAGGGGTTGTTGGAGGCTGTGCAGCATAAAATTCTGCATAAGCACAGTTGGAAAGTAGCCTTGCATATTGCACTTGGCTTTATTTGTGCAGGTTTTATTCTGAGGCACATAATGCAACAGTTGAGAGGGATTCCTGTTTTTACGGTCCTGTTGTAACGAGTGAGTAGCATGGAGTACGTGTTTTTCTAATAGTGTCTGAATAATCTGATACCACCCCAGTGCATATAAATAGTACATGGAAGATGTAGTATCATCTGACCTCTGATATTTGAGAAGATGAGTGAAGTTGTTGGAAGACTGGAAAATGCACTGCACTTTAACCCTTTCTGAAGTGTAACCTGCTAGCAGCAGGAAGTCTTGACAACGGTATTGGGATAATAATGTTTTTAATTCACTACTTTTAGAGACTAAATTCCTAACACTTCTCTGTGCTTTGTATCAACGTAAAGCGGGATGTAGAAGTTTCTTCGTTGTAGCAAAAGGAAGCTGCGATGGTCAGTAGCTGCATCTTGAGGGGCAGATTTGTCGTCTAGAAAGTTTTTCTAGTTTGCGACTTCATTCACTAGCTGCATGTGTCTTACTTCTGTGAGGTATTGGTAGCTGAGGGATTGTTTTAGCCATACTGTCTTGTGCTTATCCTTTTCTGTCGCATCTGCCTATTCACTTTATCTATGCCTTCGCATACGTGCTGTGATATCTGTTCCAAGTGGCACAACTGTTACATGCTGGAGTAATAAAGAACAACTTGTGCATGTCCTGTTTTGGTTTTTTTAATGGTGACTGACAAGCAGCAATGAAGTTAAAAGATGCAAATCATCTTCAAGAGACCTGAGAACTTCTTCTCTTCCTGGCAAAAGAAATAGGTGGTTGAATATTATGTTTTTTCCAAATTGTGTGTTTTCTGACACACAAATTTACACAAACTATTGTATCCACAAACTTAAATCTTCAGATAAATGCCAACTTCACATTTGAAACTGAGGATCTGTGAGCACTGGTCTTTCTTCCACTAGCAGAGGTATTTCAGGATGCTTAGCTTTTGATTGTGATAGATCCTTTCCTTGTTTTGGGGGAGTATAGTTGGCTGAATTGTTATCTAGGCTCACTTTCAGCAAACTGGAAATAAAGCTTCTGCTGAATCAAGTCTCTTCCAAAGAAGTGCTTAGAAAAATTAGGCCAGATTTATGGGTTACCTTCTTTGCTACACCCTATGCTATAAGGCACTGTGGAGACAGTGAGGAATGTCTTGGTTTTGAATCATGTAACTGCATGTTATTCCTTCTGAAGAATGATCATCGTCTTAAGGAATGAGACTGAAACCTCGAGAAACAGCAGTCTACTCTCTGCCACAGACTCTACTTTATATTCTGAGTAGTTGGTTTAGACAAAGATTTTTTTGAGAGATGGCCAAGAACTGCTATAGTTAATGGAACTTGTTAATGTAACTTGTGAAACTATATGATAATGAACTTCTTACTACCTTCGAGTCAGTAGCCTTTCCTAAAAGCAGAAGAAAATTTTGAGTACTCTGCTTTTTTTTTTTCTCCTTTTGCCTTTCTCCATCATAATGGAAAATATTTTTCAATTAGTATCTTTATCTTATTAACTTTTTAATTTGTGGTTCATCTTGGAAAATCTAGCCCCGTATTTGGCAGCTGTACTTGGCAAAGAGGAGAAAATGTGAATGTTGTTTCTGAACAGTTTTACTCTGGCTCTTGTACTGTGGTATATAAATGCATCCTTGCCTGAACGTACGTGTGGGCTTGGAAGCCTCTAGCTCTAGTATGTTACCTGGCTGGTGGGAGGAGGAAGTAGTAGTATATAGAACATCCTCACTAAGAGAAGCTACATCTTCAGTAAGTCAGAAAAATAGAAACAGAAGACTTCTTTTTTTGGGGGGTGTGACTTTTTGTTCATATCTCTATATTCAGAAAAGAAGCCATTCTGTTGTAGTAGCAACACATTAGTAAGTAGAAACTGATGTTTGATCTGCAAAGTGTACAAGTAAACTTTGTGGTTGTGAGGCCAAGACTGTGAGCAAACACAAGTACTTATGCAGTTACGTGGCGCTTTTTGCATGAGAATTTTATATAGAAGTAATATTGGCAAAATTTGCACGTCCTGTTTGTGAGTAACTTGATGTATCACATCATGAAAATACATCCCACCACCATTAACTGAAATGAGAGGGCTATGAAATACATTGCTATAAGTTTTACGATTGTTTCCGTTATTAACCACTGAACTACCAGTATTAGTAAATTAGAATTGATGCTCTTGGCATGTTAAATTCAACTGTGAAATCTTTAAAAGATCTGAATGGCTTAGAAGGTAAAACAAAGTAGTGGATGAAGTGTTTGGTGTCTTGGCTTGGCTCCAGCTTGATGTCCTAAATGAATGCATCACGAAACCAGAACAGATCAACCCAGATTTCCAGGAGTGACATATAAGAGCCCCGCAGCTAAGCCAACACGGTGATTGAATTAGCTCCCACATTTAGAGAGGCTTCTCCCTCCAGGTCAGACTTCTGAGCACTCATGGGCTTCTGTGGGGAGCTAGCAGTTATAGATTGAAGTATGCCTACGTTGTGGAGGAAAAGAAATCTTTGAGCTTCAGAACTTTTTATCTTTGACAAGTGTGACTGATTTTCTTTTGGGGGGGAGGGGAATGGGGAAACACTATGAACAATAATGGAAAAACTGGAAGAATTTCCATTAGTGGTGCTTCGGTCAAGGACCTGCCAATCTTCCCAGAAATATCTGTTCAAAATCTGGAACGTTTTGTTGCTGCGGGGCTGGTATGTACCTTATGTATTGCCCACCCTCATACAATACCTGGCCTGTTCTTTTAGTAAATAATAACTGTAACCATACTGTAGTGTGATACACATAAATAGGACAATTTTACAGATATTTGTGTGTGCAGGTGCAAATGTACAGCATTCGTGATCTTTTCTCTAAATACCTTATTTTTAAAATACTATCTTACTTGTAAGAAACTGATATTATAGATAAATAAATGTCGGATTAAAGGTGGCATAGTGGATAAACAGAAGTATTACTCCTTTTGAGTAATCATTATGTGTTTACTATAGTTTTGGGTTTAGGTGATGCAGGGAAATAGTAAAAAAAATGACAGTAATGTGAAGAGGGTCTTATTCTAGGGATTTGTATCATGACAAAGATGTTGCAAATAGATACTAGATACTTTTAAAAAAAATGTTCTACAATTTATGTTTTTACATGATACCCTCATATAAGATATTGATAAGTCCCAGCAACTATTATATTAATGTTAGTATTGTTTGCAGTTCTTATTTATGTATGCTTCAATATGTCAGTAACCTGATATCCCCATTTTTGTTTCTCAGCATGATGTATCACAGACTTTACTCAAAGCAACTCTGGACAGTGTGGTTGAAGAGTGTGTCAGCTTTGTAGGAGTTGATATTAACATCTGTTCAGAAATACTATTAAGGTGAGTCAAACATTTTCCTATTCCAGTAATTACATGGCTCTGGATCACAGAGTCTCTGTTTAGTCTGCCATCTGACTCAAGCTCAGCTGGAGCAAATGGCTCTTGTGTTAAACTTCCAATTACATGAAAATGACACATTAAGACAGTATTTCACTGGATCGTTAAGAGTCAGTTTTCAAGGGTATGTGTGATTCTCCAGGGTAAAACTATTCTTTGGAGAAAACCAGATATTTAAAAATTTTGAACCAACACTTCAATTTTAGAAAAACTTGATACAATTAATTTGTATTTTTACACTGAGAAACAGATTTTCAAATGTTCTTTCTGTCTCTTAGAAGGTATTTTTATAGGTACTGCTAAGTGGAACAGGTTGTAAAAGTTGGGTGAGGAAAGGAGAAGAGGAAAGATTTAAGAGGAAACTGCTGAAAAATTTATCCCTTTTTACTTTTTTTTTTTTTTAAAGTAGTTATGCCATATTTACTTGGAAAATGTTCTGGACTTTATTTCTCTTGGTTAGAAACTAAAAGCTTTTTCTCTCTCTTGAGTGTGTAGAATTCAGAGTAGTTTTTGCTGAACAGCCTCCCAGAAGAGCAAAAGTATTGCTGTCATCCTCTGTAGTAGGAAGGGAAGAATGTCCATAATCTTCATAGTGACAACTAAATTAAGTATCAAAATTAGGAAAAATGTGTTCTTGCTAGCTCTATCTTTTGGGTTTTTTGATCCCTTATAATCATTCTTGGAAACATCTTTCCATATTTTGGAAGAGGCTCTCTTTCCATTCTTTTTGTTTTTCCACTTCCATATTCTTTTTCTGTGTATCCAATCCTTAACCTGACTCCTGATTTACCTTCTGTCTTGCCTTCTCTCAGATTTAGGTCAGCTATTAGTAAGAAAGCAAGCAGTACCTGTTGGTAAATGAGGCTGACCAGCTTTCATTCCACGAATAAAAGCCCACCTGAGTGAGTGAGCAGCATCAGCCTTCTGCAGGGTATGACTGTATTGTGCAGTTCGGCAGAGAGGGCACCAGGCTGAGGTGCTGCTGTGTCTCCGCAAAGCTGTGACCATGGAGTGACAATGTCCAGTCATGGTTACCGGTGGTAACTGTGTTGGCTAAGGACTTGCTTTGGTCTAATTAACCTGGCTTATGATGCGTGAATGCACATGCTGAGTCAACTTCTGGATCTAACTTGATCCTCAGCAGTTCAAGTCTGCTGTTCTGTGTAGATGCAGTCTGCATTTCCCTCAGATGTACCATGTATGAAACTGTCACCCCAGCTAGAATGTACCATGAGCAGGGCTTGCTGCTGGTGCTTTCTGATGCATCAAATAGACTTGTTGACACATACTACACATGAAGGGGGTGGCAACACTACAGGTCTTGCATTACTGCTGAGTATTGTACTTGAACGACTTGAGATGATCGGTGGAAAATTCTGTGAATTCTGTCATGTTCCTTAGTCAGTGTAAATAAGCTGGATGTCATAATGTGTCTAAGAAATTTTTGGATAAAGTTCCATTCCTAATGATTAATATTATGTCTATGGTTAAAGGTCTGTCTCTCCAATTTAATTCTGATGTTTCACCAACTTTGGAATATTTTTTTAACTTTTGCTTGAGAATGAGAATAATGGAAAGATTTTTTTAAAATATTTTTTTTTTCTTTTTTTTAATTTTATTATTCTTGCCGGGTTTGCTGGTGGTGTTTTTCTAGAATCAGTCTTTGCTGTTCCACAAACAGTTCTTTGCTGCTGTTGACTTAAAGCTATGGCACCTGACATATAGAGCCAGATGGGTGACATTTCCTTCTCTAGTGCCAGGAGTAACTGCCCACCACAACTCCTTTCCCTCTTCCTATGGCCAACATACTCCATACACAGAAAGTTGTACTCACATGTACATACAGAAAATGTGCAGCAAACCCGTTGCTTCCTGAAGGAACTGGGCTAACTGCAGTTGCACTTCACAGGTAAGTTTTCTGCCAGATCCGAGCTGCTCTCGGAACAACTCATGCAGCCTGTTCCCAGCTGCTCTTTTATCTCAAGAGCAGCTGAGGGAAAAGGAACAAGCTGAGTGGATCTGTTAAATTGTGTGAGGAAGGCAAGCTGCTCCCAGCCACTCTGCTGGGTAGCAGACGTCAACCCTTCATGTTGGGGCAAGGTGTTGCAGGACCATTGGAAGAGAATAGCTGAGAGGGGGCTGTTCTCACAGGAACAATTTATCTGTCCTGAACCCTCCTCCCACGTTGTTTCCTGAAGAGGGCAGCTGGGGGCAGACCATAAGATGTGACAAATTGAATTGGCATTACAGAAATAGCCAACAGATCATAAATTACATGTCCCTGGCTTACTAGTTAGGTATGTGCGGAAAACCGTATTGCTGTACCAAGTTTTGTTGACTTGAGTAGATTCCTTCCATGGAACGAAGAGAATTATGCCTTTGGTCTGGGAGTCTATTTGCAAATTTCTTAGCTGATTTTAAGTTCCATAAACCAGATTTTCTACAGTAATGTGTATCCTTGTAATGGATAGGACTTGTATTAATGACTGTTCAATGGTAATAAGTGTATTCTGTAAACTTTTCTCTTAGACACATTGCAGGACTGAATGCTAACAGGGCGAAAAATATAATAGAATGGCGAGAGAAGAATGGACCATTTATAAACCGAGAACAGCTCAAGGAAGTTAAAGGTCTGGGTCCTAAGTCCTTCCAACAGTGCGCTGGCTTCATCAGGTTCAATCAAGAATATATAAAGACCTTCTGCAGGTAATAGAGATGTTAGCCGTCTTGACAAAATTATCCAAAATGGTATGAGAAGACTTTTTCCCCTTCCGTTTTGTATTCAGGCTTGAGACTTGAAGAATCCTAGGCCTTTGCCCTCTGAAAGACAACATCTTAAGAAATAAATGTCTTGAAGTCAGTGGTTGAAGATAGCTCTTCCTCTGAATAATCATGGCTCACTAGCCTAGTACTTTTAAGTCAGGGTTTCTATAAGTATGTAAGTTTAATTACAAATTCTGCCACTGAATCAGTAGAAGAAATTTGGCATGTGGCGATGTCGTGATCTGAGATATTAAAACCTTATAGTCTTGTGTTTCAGGCATAATTTAGAGATTTGTAAATTCATTTTAATGTCATGGAGATTACTCTGCAGAACATAATGGTAGTAAACTAGAGTGGATTTTCAGAGAGTTTCAATTCCATTACCTGGAGAGAGGAAGTTGAATAAGCTGCCTGGACCAAGCTCTGTCTGTGTTATACTCCTGTGCCTAGCAAGCGTGATGTGACTGCCTTCTATCTCAAATATGCAAGAGGCCCTCTTCCAACTCCAGTTTGTCACCACTGGGTCATCCTTTTCCCTGCTGTTTCATTCCCTGTTTCTGTACCAAGCTTTCCCTCTTAAAACCATTCATTGTGCTTCTCCTCCTTGCCCAAAATCCTTCCTCTCTACTACTGAAAGTGCCCTTTCTAGGGCAACATGTCTTCTCCCATCTTTCCCATTTCTCCTTCCAACATAAAGAACTAAGAAAAAAGGGCACAGTGGTAGCACCATCCCCATCCTTTTGCCGCTGACTCTTCTCAAAAAATATTTTCCTGGGAAGTACATGCTATTTTTTTTAGCCAACCCAGTGCTCAGAAGCAATACTGTATTCCCAGTTGCTGCCGGCCAAATAGCACACACACGCGTAAGTTCCAGGCAGGAGGTAGGCACATTAGGTCTGGCTTACTGCCCGGGTGGAAGGTATACAGATTGGTTGCCCATCTGGCAGGGAGGCACATGCTGCAGGCCAAATGGTGCGCACTGTAAGCACCAGAAGACCAAAGAAATTGCTTTCAAGGCTGTAGATGATCGATAGGTCTTACATTGCACGGATCTGTTCTAGTGAATGCTGCAATGCAACAGAGGAAGAAGAGGCTGACACCATTTTTCCCCCCCCCCCCCCCCAA